TGGGGGTATATGAGGGGTGATTTGGGGGGATATGGGGTGATTTTGCTGGTGACTTAGGGGATATGGGGGGGTTGGGGTGGTTTGGCAGGATATGGATGGGGTTTGGGTAATATGGGAGATATGGGGGTGTTTTGGGGTGATTTGGGCAGTTATGGAGGGTTTTGGTGTGATATGGTGGTATATGGGGATGTTTTGGGGTGATTTGCAGGGATATGGGTATTGGGGAGGATATGGGGGTGATTTGGGGGTATATGGGGTTGGGGGGGATATGGGTGGGTTTTGGGTTGATTTGGGAGGATATGGCGGAGTTTGGGGGGATATGAGCAGGTTTTGAGGTGATTTGGGATTATTTGTGGTGATATGGGGGATTTAGGGGGGTTTGGGTGTGTATGGGGAGGTATTGGGCGTGATTTCGGGCATGGTGGGGGTTGAGGTGATTTGTGGGATATAGAGGATGTTTGGGGTGACATGGGGAGATTTGGGGGAATATGGTGAAGTTTTGGGGATGATTTAGGGGATATGGGGTGTTTGGGGTGATTTGGTGGGATACGTGTGGTTTTGGGGTAATATGGGTGATATGGGTGTGTTTTGGGATGATTTGGGTTATTATGGGGGTTTTGGAGTGATATGTTGGCTATGGGACTATATGAGGAAATTTTGGGGTGATTTGGGGGAATATGGAGAGGTTTGGGGGTTATCCGGGTATAAGTGGTATTTCAGGAGGGTATGGGTGTTTGTGGATTATAGGGGGGGTTTTGAGGGGATTTGGGGAGATAGGGGTATTTGGGGGTGTAAGGGCCTGTTTGGAATTTGTCTCAACATTGCTGTTTCGCGACTACCACTTCTTGGCCTTGGCATCCCGTCGCCGTGAAGGAGTACGCTTTGAAGGAGACAAATAGTCCCCGACGAAACCACGACATCTGCCCGAAGGTAAAACAGCAGCCTTGGCAGTGCCCACCAAGCTGCGCCTGCACACGAGCTGGATGAAGAGGACATCACGGTGAGGAAGATGGGCGGAGGCTGAAGGCACTGCAAGCTGACCCCTTGCCAGCAAGACCACTGTGCACACCTGGGCATGCACACACAGAGGACCACGGGGTGGCACGTATTGCAGTGAGCTCCGTGGAAATGAGCGGACTTTTTGGAGAAGTCGTGGGGATGGGGACAATGAGAGGACTGTGTACTCCTCTCTCGGGATGTGTGTTGCTTGTTGATGTTTTTAATGCTTGTTAACGGAATGCCTGAGACTTTGGTGGAGCTTGGAGTGAGGAACATCATCACCTGCACTGAGACCGAGCCGACAGAACATCGCTGGATCCCTGGTGGTGGTAATTGCATCTCTTCTGCTTTCTTGCTTAGGGATTCTGACTTTTTCCTTTCTTTTTCTCTCTGACTTATTGCTCTTATCAGTTGTTATAGAAAATAAAGTTCACAAGGTTGTACAGCATCTAGCCTTGTTTGTGTCTTAACCTCGCTCTTGGCATTGTATAAGAACACTCCCCAATATCGGATCAGGACACCACTGGAGGTCACCGACAAATGAGGATCTGTGTTTTCTGCAGCCGCTGGGAGGGGATTTAGACCAGGGAGGGGAGGTGGTGTGCTCCAGCAGTTTTGTGAAAAATTAGTTTTTGCTGACTGATAAAATATGGCAACGCTATGATCAAAACCAGGCAAACCACGTTTTGTAGTCCAGCTGATGAATAAAGAGTGAGCACAGCAATCAAATTATTTATGGTTGTTCTGGTGCTCACGGCTGAAGTCAGTGTGGTGTGGGTTTGTACGCAGGCAGTGACAGTCCATTACTGTCTGTGACTTTGGCTGAGGCATCATTCAGACTCTCTCCTTTCTCCCTGCTCTGCTCGGGCAGCGATAGGCCTGTGTGCTGCATGCACGAGTTACTACAGCAGTACAAGTATCTCTGGGTGGATCAGGCTTGCGTGGCTCTGGGCGAAGTCGCCCCTCAGATCCAAGGACAGCTCCTGTCTGAGCACAGACGCTGGTCTGGAGCTGGGAGCTGCAGTGTTTGATCTGCTGCCTTTTCCCCGGGGAGATGCCAAATAGTTGTTCTGCCATGACAGCTGAACGCTGCCCTCTTGCCTCTGCAGAGGGTTAAATCCCAAGAGTGCCGATGTCGGTGTGGGACTGGCAGCCCACTCTTGGCTGTGTGGAAGTGTCCCGGCCCTTCTGGAGATGAGCTGCTGCCAGCTGATGAGACAGGAGGGCCCACAGCTGTGGGTCAGCCTTTCACTGGCACTGAGAGTACAGAACCGCAGTTCAGGGGCCACGTCCCAGGTGCTTGACTTAATTTTGAAACCTTAGATGATGCCATTCTCATTCCTGGCCCCTCTATTCCTGTTCTGCAGGGCTGATCTGCCTGGCTGCAGTCTGGGTTTCTGGTTCCATGCTCCTGCCAGCAGACAGGGCACGGAGAAAGGGCCCTCAGCCATGACTGGGGTGTGACCTCTCAGCTCCCTCTAAGGGGGGTGTCCTTTCCAGAAGGGTGGCAGGATACAGCTGTGTAAATATTTCCTGAGGGAGACTGACCTGGTGGCTGTCCCTGTCGTTAGCTGGGAGAAAGAATGACTTTGTCCTGGTGGTGAATCTCCTGGGAAGTGTGCGCGCTGACGGGCAGCAGGTTTATGCAAACACTTGAATTGTAAAATGATCCGTAGGTGCAGTTCTTTACTAGAACGAAAATAACTGCTGAAGATTTGATGTGAGAGACCAGGGTGATCTGCATTTATAGAAGTAATTTATCGTGGTCAGACTCTCTTTCTCCCAGGTGGGAAGACTCAGCAGATTAAACTCAGGGCATCTTGGTTCAAGTCACACCCTCACTTTAGTGGCTATGAGTTTGTGCCATGAGAATTTTTCTTTTTCAGCTGAGTTGTGTTGTCCCTTTAGCCGGTTTTATTGTGTTTGTTTTTTTTTTTTTTTCTCTTGAAGAATGTTGAACTGTGTAAAATCAGTCTGACACTTTGGTTTTACACTGATGGGATCTGTTGTCTTGCAGTAATTCCTACCAGCACGGGCAAGTGCTTTTGGTTTCAGTATCTGAACTCTCCACATAGAAGCTAGCAAGTTTGAGGAAAATTTGTGCATTTCAGGGTTATGTCACAGACATTTCTTCCTACATGAGTTACCTGCATCTGAAATGTGCGTGACAGTTTTCATCACGGATTTGGCAGGTGTCAGTATAACTCCTATGCATGTGGGAGATGGAACAGCAGGTTCTGCCTTGTGCAATACAGTCGGTTTGAAATGATTTAGGGTCCAGCTGTGATCGCTTTTGCAGACATGTGTTGCATCTTGTGGGAATCACTAGCAGATGAGACAGATGTGCAGTCACAGGTAGTCATAATTCTTTGTTGTCCTGCCTTTATGGGATGGCAGAGTGAGGCTGTGGAGGTGAATGTGTCTAATAAATGTTTGCTCCCATCTCTGCAGGTGATCTTAATCTCATTTTGCACCCATCTCCTGTTGCTTGACTTGATGGAAATCAAGGATGAGTTTTGTTCTACAGCTTTTTTCCCATACGGTTCCACTTCCTTGCGCTTTACAAAGTCTTGTCAAAGGGTTTGAGACAGGTGCTGGATTCTTGCTGTCATCTGGATCAGGCAGATGGATTCAGGAGTTCAAGGTGAATGCCAGAACCTCTTCCTGGTAGAGCTGTTACACACTCCCGTGGAAAAAGAGACGCATTTTTAAAGAGCTTCTGAGGGTAAAGGTACACGGTTTGGGGTGATGGTGGTGCCTTCTGAGCACTGGATCTGAGCACAGGAATTGGCACCAGGTTGGGTGGCAACAGGAAATCATTCGAATAGATGAAAGGATAGGTGATACAAAGGATAGGTGGTTGATGAAAGGATAGCTGATTCCACCGTGTTACCAAATGTCATACTGTGTGGTGATGACTACTTCACAGCTGCTAAAATCCAGCCCTTTTTCTCTGCTCTCTTCTGCCCCTGCAGCCCCCCAGATCCCTCCTGTGCAGGCAGAGATGGAGCTGCTTTTGTCCATGCCATGAGTCTGCAGCACTCCATGGGGCAGAGACCTCCCCGAGGCCATGGCCCAGCTCCTGTACCCTCCAGGAGTGCCACGGGCTGAGTCCTCATGCTCTCCCCTGGCCAAGACATTGCTGGCAGGTTCCTGGAGCAGCAGAAGGCCTTGGCAGACCTGGAGCAGTATCTCCAGCAGTGCAAGGAGAAGCATCAGGCGCTGAAGGAGATGCTGAGGAAGTTGGAGCTGGAGCACGCTGAGCTGAAGTTTCGCCAGCCCCCCAACACCCTCAGGTACTGCTGGCCTTGGGACAGTCTTGCCAAGTGGGCCACCACCCTTGGAAGAGGGACGTGGGCAACCTGGGTGTACCAACAGGGCCCCCCTTCCCCCGTCCCGCTGCAGCCCCCACCCTCCTGCTCTGGGATGTTTCCTGAGCAGAGTGCTCCCCCAGCGCTGGGCCTGGCAGAGCACCCAAAGCTCCCGCTGCGGGTGGCAGCAGGAGGACCCTTGCTCCTTGCCTGGTGTGGGGAGTGGGATCAGCAGCATGGGGTTGGGTTGCAGGCAACATCTCTGCTCTGCAGGTGGTGCGGGGTGTGAGATGAGCAGTTTTGGCAACAGATGTGGGGTGTCTCTGCACCCCTACACAGTTGTATGGATGTGAATGTGCTTGGCTGCAGGGAGCTTGAGGAGGAGCTGAGGAGCAGATGCAAGCCCAGATGCTTAGGGACAAGTATCTGCTGCTCCAGTTTGAAAATCCCATTAAAAACCTCGTCGTCCTTCTGCATGGCATCACTGTGCCCAGCCAGGTACCCGTGCGGTGTGGAGCTGAGCACGACTCCAGCCAGTGCTGGAGGGGCAGCGGCACGGCACAGTGACGCTTGGTGCAGCCACCGTCATTCCAAGAGACTCTTCTTCCCCACCAAGATGGTTGTTCTCTCTCTGATTCCAGAACTCTTCTGTCCAGGCCCGGGGGGTGCAGAAGAAGCTCCAGCACTTTAGGCAGAGGCTGCAGTACCTGGTGCAGTGTGTGGCCAGCCTGCCCCCCGACAGCCACAGCCTCAACGAGGATGATGAGGTGCATGTGTGGGGGCTCCATCCCTGGCAGTGGTCTTTGGGGACCCGTACAGGGCTCTCCCAGGTGGCCCATCCCAAGCTGTCCTCCCAGCTGGGAGGATGGAGGTGGCTCCAGGGAAGAGTGTGGAGCAGCTCAGCCCCAAGTGGCACTGGGTACTGCAGGGTGTCCCCCAAGGGGACATGGAGGTGGAGCACCCCTGGGGTGGAACAACCTCCTTCCGTTCAGCAGTTAACCCAGGGGGTCTTTCACAAGCTTTTTTGAAGGTCTGAAACCTCCTGGAGAAGACAATGGCAGAGGATCCTCCAAGCCTGAAGATTTCCTTGGAGGACACCAAGGGCAGGAGAGCACAGCAGGGACACACCCCCCAGCACCTGTCCCAGCCCCTACCCACAGGCAGTTCTGAGCATCCTCGCCTGTCTCCCACTGTCCCAGAAGACCCTGACTCAGGAGTTGCCTCCAGACCTTGGGTCTGACCTTGGCTGTCTCCAAGGCTTTGAGCACGGTGGGTGGTTTTAGGTGGGGATGTGGGAGAACGACGGCAACTGTTGGGGTGGTAAGCGCTGAGCCCCAGAAGAAACAAGGGGAGATGCTGTGGTGCAAGGAGGGGGCCCTCGTCTTCAAAATCCCCTGCCCTGGATGTGAAGAAGAACCAGTGCTTGGCTCTGCCTGTGGCCTCCTCTGATTGGAGGCTCTTGGAGCAGACAAGGAGCTTTTGCAGCTCACGGCCCTTTTTCCCAAAGTGGAAGTGAACCCACCGCCCTGCAGCTCCAGACCTTCATGGGAAGCCCCACCAGTATTGTGCGGGGACCCAAGTGGTGGCATCCACAGGCCGTGCAGGTCACCCTGGGACACTGGGCTGGGAGAGCCTGTCACAGTGCCTGTGCCCGAGGGCCTGGCACAGGGCTCTCTGGGATGCCACCAGCCCTCCAAAATGGGCCACATCTCCCCGGGGACACGGGCACAGCGGAGGTGGCCCCGCAGACCCTCCCCAACCTGCTCCTCTCTGCTCTCTCCTCCAGACCCCCCTGCTTCTGATGATGTAGATGATGACCTTGTCCTTACCAGGGAATACATCAAGAAACAGGGGCTGCTCCTGATTGATAAAACCAAGAAATGTGCCAAGAAGTAGCGGCTGTTCCACGCACAAGAGCTCTGGGTGCCCCCAACCACCTGTTGTACCCTTTTTCTAAATACAGCAGTTATTCTTAGGCTGAATACAGCAGGTCTTTGTCATTCTTCCCAAGCCCACAGCAGAGCTGGACCGGGAGCTCCTCGGTCCCTTCTGTCAGGCAGAAGCAGCAGGGTCAAGCCCTGAGGGGAGCTGACCTGGGTTTGGAGGCAGACCCGTCCCCCTGCCCCTCGCCCAGCTGCTCTCCCTGCAGAAGTGGGGCTGGGCTGGGCTGGGCTGAGCTTTCCCAGGCAGAACAGAGCTGGGGGCAGGCTGGCTTTCTCCCCCCTGGTCCTTCTTGGGACATCTTCCCCCCCCCC